AGCTCAGTACTCAGCCATGTCCAGCTCATCTCATCAGTCTGCTCTCCCAGGACCATCAGAGTCAGGAGCTGTTCAAGAAATACACGACACATGATTCTTGTCTTTCAAACCAAACTTCTAAATTAAAAGAGGAAATGTTTGACCATGGACTTTACTTGGAACTCCCCGTCAGGCTAAAGTGGACTCCAACCAGTTTGAACATACTATATTCCTTATTTTCTATGATAAGCCATGTGTAAACTTAACAGAACTAGGAGGAAAAAAGTTTTTATACAGTTGATGAAAGAAAACAGAGATATGGTGTTTATCCAAGAAACCAATTTGATAGAAAAAACGACTCAAAAGCCAGAGTTAATGTACAAGTATTTTCATCTTTATACAGATCAGCGAGAAGGGGAGAACCCATATTCCCTTCTGAAAAGAGAAATCGTACACAGGACGAAAAAGGAGGGTTTACTTAGTTGTGAGGAAAATAGAGACAATTGAATTATCTGTGATGAATGTTTACTACACCGCAGATGAAGAGGCTGAATTTATGACACTAGGGAAAGGAATAATTATTATTGGCAGGGAACTGAATGGGTCAAAATGTAGACTCAGCAGCTGGAACTTGTAAGGCAGCAGCAATACTCAGGAGAATATGTCCAGAGACAGCACTAATAGATGTATGGAGCACTGCATCCACAAACCAAAGATTATACACATATCTCTAGTAGACATTTCTCTTACAGAAGATCGGATAGCTGCTTTGTGTTCATTTATTACCCTATGTATTATGGGAACAAGGACAGTGTGTGATCATGCGAATGTTACCCTAAAGGCAAAGCTCAATTTGAACAAAGGAAACATATGGCGAATGAATAATTCCCCCCAACAAGAATTAAACTTTAAAGAAAAAAAGAAACACTGCTTTGAACTAAATGATACAGGGGGAAATCAATGAGATCACCTTATGAGGAGAAGAAGCTTTACAGAGAAGTGAAACCATTATGCATCTGCGAAGAAAAGTTAAAAAAGGAGCTTGAATTATAAATTAAACTCCTGGAGGATGAATGCAAACTTAATCTTAATTCTGCTTTTATCACACAGCGACAAAAAGCTCAGAACTATGGAGATAATGGAGATAAGAAAAATGGAGATTGTCTAGGAAAACTTCAACTAAAAAGAAAAAAGTTCACATAAGACTATGTCCCTTGTAAAAGTGATCACAAGACAAATAAGGAAACCTTTACAAATTATTTGATCAATAATTTAGGGAATTATTGATACCAATCTTAGATTCTCTAACCATAGTCATCCCTACACAACCTAAGGACTGTATTAAGTTATCATTATACATATTTATGATTGTATAACACTGATCAAAACACACTGTCTTCAATAAGTCAAATGCTAGAGACAAGGGGTTAAAAGAAGTGATGGCACATATAATAATTAAAGACCAGTGCAGTTTTGTATACAACAAGTACTTGGTTGATGACATGGAGCGTCCTTTAAATATAGTATAATTGACCATTGTCAAAAAAAACAATTGGCTTTTGATTACATTTTTCATATAATTGAGAATAGGTTTGTACATAAGCAGGTGTATATCCACGAATATTCTTCATCAGTGTGTGTATGTATGGACAAATATGTCATTACTTCTTTCATTCTTTTGTTTGTGTCAGTGGGTCTGTAAAATACTAAAAAAATTGAAATAATAATTACAAGGATGTGGAAATGTATTGGATGTTTCCTAGTGAGGAAACAGTGTCAGCACTGTGTTATTGATTGCTGCTGATAATCCTGATGTCTAGTCACTTTTAAGGAGTTATTAATGTTGGGTTGGATTTGCCGCCTTGCCCTTGATTCACCTGGTGCAATACAAATATATAAATACAAAGCCAGGTTGTTGTCTTACTTAAGTTGCCTTTCTCATTCCATTGTCTCGTTCCATCTGTCTAATCATTTAAAAGATTTGATTTCTTTATGGAACTGAAGGAGTGCTGGATATTGTGAGGGAAATTAAAATTGTAGAGAGAGAGAAGCAATACTTGCTCAAAGCCAAAACATTCCCTAGTCCACCTCCCTTTCTCAAGCATTCTCTCTAACAAGCTATATGGAAGTTAAGGTTATGCGCATACAATAGCTGCTGGCCCAAGAGTCAGTATGACAACAGACACCCCAATTAGTCTGTATGTGTGTGTGTGCTCTCAGCTGTACTCCTGATACTCTACATGCATGGATAAAAACAGAAACGCAAACAAGCTTACCACGCTGTGCCGCAGCCTTGTGTGTGCAGAGGGGCAGGCAGACCTCCCTGCAAGGATCAACTTCTGTTTAGCAACAGTATCTAAGATGTGTCAAGACAGCAGAAAACTTGTTGACATATTTCTCCTTCTTAAGCTGTAGTACGTGATCCCACACAGAACAATGCAAGACGTTAAAGTTATATTCGGCTAAAATGTACCTCAGGCTGGATAGACTTTCTGGAGAGATGACTTTGCTAGTAACGAGAGACGATAAAGAGTTTAACAGCTGACATGTTCAAGGATAAACCTTGAAAAGGGATCAATCTTCAGAGAAGATATCGTCTGAAGTTCTGTGGGTAGAAGGAGAGAGAAAAAATACAGAGCTCAAACTCAATGACATTGCTCAGATTGCCACAGGAAACGTTCCTTAGGCTTGACTAAACCTTTTTTGGTCCAGATACGGATTTTAGCTTATTCCTCGGGCCATGGTTCGAAAGAAAGAGTCAGATCAAAAGAGGTGATCTTTGTCCAAATGAAATGACACATGGTTCTAATCAGCATTTTTTTTAGATAGTTTGGACTTTCAGACAAATTGCAGGATGATGAGACGGCAATAGAAGAAGGGTGTGGAAACGACTTAAATAATTGCTTGAAATCTTCACCTCTGACAGTACAGCGTTTGATCAACAACGACATTCATTTTGCTAATATTAATACCATAATGATATTACAGTGGCAACAAAATGAACCAAGTGAAACTGTTCATCAATTTTCCATGCACTTTATTGCAAAAAGTTAGCAAATACAATCACTAAATTGAAAACATGACATCAGACGACATCAGATGCATGACCTTCTACAAATCGCTCAATGTCAAGTAGGTTGACGCAGCCCCAGCATGTGATGATGATAAGACATAGGTATATCATACAAAAGTCTTTGGGGTGCAATGTGAAATGGAAATTAACCAGATTAAATGCAAACAATGTTACAGAGATATAAGTCTTGGTTCAGACCATGGTCCACACTTTAAGGTGTGAAAGTGCCCGATCCTGCTTCCTTTTACTTAGACATCTGTGGGTGGAATTAGAGAACGTCTGACTTTATTGGCTGTAGGTACCTCTCCCCATGCTTGACAATATATTCACACACAATGGGTATTTTTAGCATTTTTTTTTTCTTTTTATGAAACATGAGGCGCGCTGCAGAGGCTCATGTTACCCGCCTCGGAGAATTTGGCTTAGGCTAATGCAGACATGTGGATGTGCGTTGGGGCATAGGGGGTGTAGGAGGTACAGAATAGAATTATTGACCTCAGAGTTTTTGGGTGTATCAATTTTATTTATTTATTGTTACTGCAAACTGTCTCACAGTTTTTCAGCTTTAATGGGAAACTTAGATTTGCAGCACAAACTGTGCTGGATGAGATATATACAGTGCTAGTGCTCCTGTTGTTATTGAATGATAAAAATCAGGCTGCCAAGGTAAAGCATAGAAAATCTCATGCTCTCATAAATTAGATGCTGATAAATGTCCCTCGGCACTATGAAGGATTTGAGGCGATATATAAAGATGCAACAGCAGTTTTTCTCTATCCTCATCTCCATGAACCAACAATCCTGTGAAGCCTTTCAGGATAACAGATTCTCTTGTTAAACCCATAGCATTAATCAATGCTACAAGGCCGGGCCTCTTGTCTCTTGTCTCTTGTCTCTTGCAAGTTCTGTGCTGATGTCTAAAGTGACTTTTTTGAACCTTAGATTTTAAAAGAATGCATTTCAACCTAATTGCCATCTGTTCAAAGCAACATCTGATCTGTGAAGCACAGAGCGAGCGAGCGAGCATGCGTGCGTGCGTGCGTGTGTGTGTGTATTATGCTAGATGTCAGCGGAGGCTTTGATACTTAGGAGGTTGATTGTGTTTTTTTTAGATAGATCTCTATTATAAACTGCACACATCTTCTATCATGACAGGCAAATGGTAAATGGTTTGTATTTATAAAGCACTTTTCTAGTCTTGATGACCACTCAAAGTGTTTTACAGTACAGTTTTGCCAACCTTTCACAGACACATACAATGCATCTATTTGCAGCACTTTCTCTATGACACATCATTCATACATTGCTGGCACAGCTGTCAGAAGCAATTTGGACTTCAGTATCTTGCCCAAAGACACTTTGGCACGTGGAATGGGGGAGACGGATATTAGTTATTGTTAATTAATATGGCAGTGATGGTGGATTTCAGTTGTTAATACAATGTTGTACCAGGATTTCATGGCTTGAAGAGAAACTTACAATTGATATTTATTGTCCCCAGAGGATGAACCCAACTGACTTGGTGTTCCCCTGGCTTTTAGTCGAGTTAGTGAATTAGTATTGGATGGATTATCTTAATTTTTTTACAGACATTCATGATTCCTAGAGAATTTATTCTGGTGACTTTGGTGATGTCTTACTTTTACTCCAGCTGTTGTTGAAATCAGTAAATGTTAGTTTACTGACTAAAATGAAACAGTTAACGTGGCAGACCAGCTGAACATTAGATTGGTAGAATTAGTTAGTGTTAATCATAGACTGTAATTAAAGATAGATAGCACACACATCAACAAATTGCATCTTTTGGCTACAGTTTGGGGAGCTCTGATATCCTCCATCTTTATTAATTTAACATAAGGCCAATAGGTAATAGCACCCTTTAATAGCAGCAGTATACCGTTTACACTCCTGGTCAATTTGTCCACTAATACTGGGGCTTATTTTACAGTCTCATCTCAGACTATGATGTGATCGGCCCGACCTTAATTACCGCTGAGCACCTCTAAGCACCTCCAGACTGAGAGAAGCCAAATGAGGTAGTAAGCATGGCTCCCCGCCGTCTCCCTTCCACTGCACTGTGGATGCAATTGAGTAGGAGGGGATCCCAGGGCAGACGAGGAGACGCTGGAGAAAGGACATCTCGCAGCTGACCTGGAAGTACCTGGATGTCCCCCAGGAGGCAGCTGAAGGACGTCGCCGTGCAGAACGATGTCTGGACTGCTCTGATTTCCCTGTTGCTGCTGCAGCGCTGACTTGCATACGCAGGTAGGAAAGGGTCGAGCGGGGGGATGGAGTACTCTCCAGGGTTGCTGACTTCCACAAAGACTCACTTATCTCCTTTATTGTCTGTTCACCAGTGTTTGATTTGTATTCACATATTTATTCGTTTGTGTCAGTCCTCTGGGTGATTTAAATTAAAATGGGATAAAACAAGCATGAAATACATTCAGCTTGAAGGTTCATTTTTGACTTTGAAAACAGGAACATCTAGTGTCTGACAGAACAAAAGTCAAGGATAAAATGTATAACAAACACAGCTAGTTCCATTCATGCTGCACAAAGTTATAGTTGATTACTAGTACACCTATGAAGCAATGTTTTATTGCCTCAGCACAGGAAACAAATCTCTTATCAGAAAGTGAAAATTCGCCACAGAAACATTTGCCTATGTGTGACCATTCCCTAATCCTGTAAAATGTGTTGCTTCTCAAACATTGTCATTCGTCAGTGTGTGTTTTTGTTTGGGGGTCTTTGCAAGGCAAGAAGTTATTCGAGGGCAGGATAGACTTTGTTTTCGCACACAAGAAAAAGCAACTGAGGGGGATATCGATTACACTCTGCAAAATACTTAATATATCTCAGAAAAAGTGAACCAGATAAATACATAACTGTGCCTTATCTGTAAATGCCATCAGTGTTCTTTATTAACATTGTCCCACATGTCGCCCCGAGCCCCCCACTTTTCCTTCATTTCTTTTTTACCCAGTTGGCAGTTCATGAGGAGTTGGAAATCGATATTCTGCTCGCAACAAGGGGGCAGAAAGTCCAGTAGTGGAGCAGCTTAACAGCTCCACAAAGACCTGGATGTTTGGGCTCGGAGGCAGGAGATCAATGGTGTAAAATAGGAGAGAATTAACAATGGTAGTAGAGCAAGGGGAGGACAGTCTGCTTTGACCCGGTGTGTGTTGAGACAGCAGGCTTCACCCTGCCGCCCAATAATCGCTCCACTGGAGTGGGATAATGCCAAAAAGGAATGGCTGTGATAAAGTAAAAAAGATCCTGTGTATCTGGGTAGAGGGAATGTTGCTGGGGAAAACAAGGTGATTATTAGGAGTGGGAAAGTTGAATTACATTAATAATACAGTGGAATAATGTGTTATATTTATACAGGGATTAAAAGAAGACTGTACCTATACCAATTATCTTTTGAGGGTTGCATGGGTGGGTTGGAGCCAATCCTCGTGGTTACTGGGCATGAGAGTGGGTGCCCCCTGTATAGGTCACCAGCATGCAGGTCCAACATACAAGTTCATTAAGCTTATGTTCATCTTTTATTAAACTCGTTTCAGAGAGTTGAATCGAGTGACTGTGTGTGTGTGTGGTTGAGTTGTATACAGTATTGCTTGTATGTAATACAGAGATTTTTATTTGGCCGATACCTTCATTGATACAAATGAGGTGGACAAAATAATAGTAACACCAGGGCACCACAGTGGCTGTCCATAAACTTTATGTGGCATTAATACCCTTCATAAATCAAAAAGCTGCCAACTCTTGTAGAATAAAACAGCAGAAAATAAACTCTACAGTGGCTGCAGCTGACAACCAGCTATGTTGCAAAGAGACACAGTAGTTTCTGATGCCCTGTACAGTAAGTTATAACAACCATGTTCAGACAACTTCTCTCTCCATGTAAAATACAACCAGTCCAGATGGCCTCTCCTGTCACACTGTGCTCCGCAGTCAAGACAGGATCGTCACAAACAGTGAAGATGTGGTGCAACGTAGCTAACAGCATGCACCTGTTGGTCACATGACCCAGCAGGTGTGCTGTATTTGGGACACTTGCTTTGGTCTGATGCATTAAAATCGACGCTTTATTAAGACCAATGCCACCTTTTTACCTGCTTATCATCTCCATGGCTTCGTCACGACTAAACGCACACCCTGTGTACCTCCTGATCCTCAGTCAGTCATCATTTATGCCATGTCTACACTCCTGCAGATATTTTCCCCTCTGTTTCTTAAAATATCTCCGTCCTCAAAACCTTTGTTATTACGAAACATCGTGACTAGAACAAAACAATGACTACAAATGCTCAAACAAGCATGCTGCGTCAGTAGGTTGCTATAAAGCCCAAATCTCGTCTGCTGAAGTTGCTGAAACGGCCAGTTTTCAATTCTTACTTTCTCACTTACTCTTTTTATATTTAAGGCACAATGGCCTTTATTAGCAATAAACAAAAAGTGCAAAAAGAGGCTTAAGGGCCATGTCACAACTGAACCCGGTCCTCTGCAGGAGGACTCCTGTCTCCATACATTAGTCAGTGGATGACTTTTTTTTCGCCTGTATTTTGACTTTAAAACTCTGACAAAGCAAAATACTTAAAAATGTGAAAGGGACATTTTAAAAACTACAAAGTACCACAAATAAAAGTACACAAAAAGCAACTGTTACAGTATCAAGCACACATGTAGATCAATACTACCATCCCAAAAGTTTTAAAGAACTATTATTCCGTCAGCAAATGACAACTATGAAATTTGTGTATTTCTTATGTAACATTCACAAAAGTCTTTAATTTCTTTTTCCACAATATGTTTATATCCAGTTACTGATGTTATAGCACCCCTCAAGTAACATGCAGTGACAATAAAACATTTTATAAACAGACATTCAACTTTTATATTGAACAATATCTAACAACACTATATAATACTATATAAGATATGTCCTTATATAGTTGAATTTCTCCTCAGGTAAAGCTGACTGAGGTCTTCAATTATTTAACCTTCTCAACTAACTTTTCAAGATTCATCTTAACAGTCTGATCAAAGCCTGCCTTTCTTCTTGTCTTTTTTTCTGCTCCTTTATTAGATTAACATTGATATTCATTAACACCTGATCCACCCTGTGCACTGGCACCGTGCCTCCATAGGAAAACAATGGCATTTTCATTTATCCAGCAGGGAGAGCCCACGTCACTTTGCTTCCACATGCAGTAGACGCAGTTGTGATTAACTGCTGGTAAAGGAACACATTCAGGGATTCTTAAGTAAAAAGCTGTGGCTGCAGGCCATCTGTAAAAACATCTAAACAAAATGAGGAGAGAAAAGGACCAACAAGAAGAGGAAAAAAAGAGAGGTATTACGCGTGGGTTATGCTCAATCGCATCCATCATCTCGCCTTCATTACTGATCAGGGAGTGAAGGATGACGACAAGTTGGACAATTTCCTCAAACTCCCAGTGGACGCCCTTGAAAATGACAAATCGCCAGGTTAACTGTGTCGGGGTCACGGCCATTTGGAGGCAACGAGCCACTTTATTCAGAGCGAAAATCCATAAAGGGAGTTCATTCCCAATCTGCTCTTACCTCTGCCTGGATCCGGTGAGGGATGGCCTCAGTCCTCATGGGAGGAATCCTAAACCATCCCAAGTGAGACAGGCATGACTAGGAATCCAGTTCATTTTCCTCAATTCCAGGCGATGACAGTAGTATTTCCAAGTCAGCAGCCTGCCAGGAAAAAAATGCTTTTTTCTCTTCCCCCTGCAATTAATTGCACTTCGCTTTCCGTCTTGATATCGATGACGCAGGGGACTGATTCCTGCAACACATTCCAACCACATGCATTGTCCCTATCTTCCCCCAATGCATTTTTTAAATATGTATTACATTGACGCACAAGGAAGGCCTGACAAACAATTTGAATTACATCTTAATGAATACATGCAAGGTTGAGCAGGGTCAGAAGACCGAGCCATAAAGGAGACAAGCATTGGAGCTGGTGGTGGAGTGTGTGTGTTGGAATACTGTCAGCAGTCACTATGAGCAAATGAGTGGGGGTCTCACTCAAAAGCCAGCTCCGGCCTTTCTGCCGTGCTGAGATTAGGGCAGAAGAGGCTTTCAGTGAGACTAGTCAGGCAAGCTGGCAGTCCAGAAGGACAGACGGATGAGGCAGCCGAGGGATTTTAAGAAAATAACATGTGAACCAGCGCAAAGGAAGAAAGAGTGAGGGAACTCTCTTTTTGTCTCGTGTACAAGGAAAGGTATGTTTGGGGAGGTTGGGGAGGGGGGGAGCATCCTCCAGGACTCTGATAAAAGGTTGTGGAGAGCTGACAGACCACATTCTCTCCCTCGGCTCCTCTTCCCCCTCATGCTGTGTTCCTGTTTTCTCCCGGCATGTCTTTATCTTGCTATTTCACCCTCTCTCTCTCCTTCTTTTCTATTCATCTAGCTCAGTTTCTATGGGAGCAGCCAGCCCTGGGAGCCTTGAAGTCGGCGAGAAGAAGAAGAAGAAGGAAGTAATGGCAGGTGCGCGGAAGGAGAGTGGGGGGTGCACGACGGGCCCTGAGGTTGGGCTGAGAGGTGAGGGACAGACACTGGAGTGTGTGACAAAAGGATGAGCTTCACTGCTAATGACTTCCACAGGGGAGACCAGCTGCTCAGCCTGCGACGGCTTCGTGCATGCGCCGTCGCCGCCACGCAGGATTTACTCGGCAGTGAGATGGAGCATGCACACGGAAGCACAAACTCTACAACTTTTGCACACACTAAAAAAAAAAAAAAAGATTTCTCCTCCCGTTTCTTCTCTCCACCCTCACCCACTCACCCTCCTCTCACCTTTATAAATTCATCTAGATTTCTGACCAAATAAATAAAAAATTCCTCCGTCTGATTTATGCTCTGTCCTCATATTGCTCTCCGGTGCCATGATATGCGACGCAGTCCTGCTTATGAATTCAGATGTTATGTTATACTCAACCTACTCAGTATCTTTTTTGTCCGCAGCCATAAAATGGGGTTGTTTCACTACAATAAAGCATAATCAATAATAGATTGGACAGTTATCCGTGGGAGAGAGCGGGAGATTTCTAACAACCTCCCCAATGCTTAAACAAAGAGTACGGCAATGCATGTGAGCCCTCTAGTGTTAAGCCAAGTGCTAGTTTCATGTACTGGGATAAGGAGGATAAAACAACAGAAGAAAATAATGGCTCGGTATTGTGTTTGTGTGGTTTTGTAAGAACTCGGCACACTGCATCGGTTTGTGTATCCCACACATTTTAGCTGAACAGTTATATGATCTTTTGAATATGCAAACTGTGACACACAACATAGGGGCTCGACTGCAATTTTCCTGGATAAAACCCTCAAGAGCTTTTTTCATATAGCGCGTTGAATGGGCATTTAAAGTCTTTGATGCTCAATATACAAATTACCATTCAGGTGACATTTGCCTGCAGATTTTCCACAAGAGAGGGAATAGGCCACCGCTTTAGACGGCATGAAAAACCTTAAAGGCCTGGACTCTATCCGGTGAATAATGTGATATTAAGTAGATGTGACATTTTAAAAGAGGCTTTAAAATCCAGGCATTGATCAAATGCAGGGTGACAAGCATCATAGCTCAGTTAATGGCTTCCTCGATGAGACTCTCCGAAGGTTCACTTACGGACTGTGGGCCTTTCACAGCAGGCTGCTTTGGATTTCTCAACATCTGTATTTACCTTTAAGTGTAAGTGGTCTTAATTCTTAATTACTCTATTCCTAGTTAAGTTCAAATTGCGCTTCATGAGCAATATGGCACACAGTACACACGGTGTGCTCACTGCCAAGGGTCAAAGCAATGCATCAGCAGGGAAGCTACTTAACTTGGCTTTATTTTCCTTTTGGGAAAACACAAAGTCATTGCAAAGACATTCATTCTTCCAACACAAAAACATGAAGCTCGACCTGCCCCTCAGATAGCGTCTCATGATAGCTGCCTAACCGTCACACACAGGTGAAGCAAACAGTATAGCCTGAGCCAGAGGGACAAAGTTACTACCCCGGGTCGCATGGGATGTCTGGCCATGTGATTTCACGATAGACTTCTGTCAAAATGGATTCTTCATAACAAGTGATTCTTATATGACAGTCTAAGTTGCTCATTATTTAGACTCCTCCTTTAGCAGAGTGAAAGATTTGTGTTCATGTGGAACATTTGCTAACCCATGCATAAGCCGAACGTGTTTTCTGGGTAATGCATTATTTTAGAGAATACATCAAAATTTTAGGACGTGCTTAAATCCAAAACTCAGATTATCTTTTCAAGTATAATTTGTTGCCCACTGACGTCAAAAAATGTTAAAATCAGACTTCGGGTTATTCTGCCATGTGTAACTCTGCAGCAAGCCGAACATTTTGAGTACAACACAGGCTGGTTTTTTTCTGCAAACATTGCATCCCTACAAGAGTTCATGTGAGCGGAGTGAACCCACCCAGGCCTAATCATTAATCATTTCGTGTTAAGAATGTATATAGGAGTGCATGCGTACAATACCTGCACGCAGCAATGTGCGTTTGTAAGGTTTGTGAGGTAATCGATGCAACGGACTGAAAGGTCACAAAACCAGAGCATGGTGGGACTGTGCTGTCTCACCTTTGAGCGTCTCTGCTGGTGACGCACAAATCAATCACTGTGACTGAATACTGAAAGAAACATGCATGATAAATGTTTCTATACGACGAGTGCAGATTTGTGAAAATAATATTGAGTGTTTTGTTTTATTTATTTCAAATTAAATGTATATTTACATCTATGGGAAGCCTGAAATATGGGTTGCGGGTTAAAGGTTATGGAAAATATTTTCAATTATTTACAATTTGTAGGTTTTAACATTAACATTAAGATCCCTGTTTATTGCATATTTTGTCTTTATCTTGTCTTGTCTATGAAGTTGGAAGGTTTTTTTGTGGCTTTGAATATTTGCAACAGTAACTTCCTTCCTGTTGCCTTCCAGCTGAAGAGTTGGCCAAATGACCACGATTTGCTGCATGTCCACACCCCCTGCTCTGATTGGTTGGCCGGCAGAAACAACATTTTGCGTGCACATTGTGAAAACCCAATGAGAAACATAGAGGAGAACAGATGAAGCAGATTGCACGAGGGAAGGGAGGATGAAAGGAGTAATCTCCAACATTGAAATCAACCACGTTTTGATACTCCAATTTTTTTAATTAACCCCCCCTCCCCATGAGTCTTTAACATGAGTTTGGAAAACCAGCTGAGCGAGTGTAACTCTCAGCGCTGTTTGTCTGGCTAACTGCCGCACGGCACGATTGTTGTTTTACAGCCACCGTGGGTTTACGCTGCCCACATCCCTCCTCTCTATTGAGACGGGCCTCCTCCTCCTGCTCCTCTTCACTGCCTCGGACCACTGCTGGCAGCGGGACTGAGCACTCAGTAAGATGTAGAGAGATACATAACAGGCTACAATTCCCCAACTCCCACCAGGACAGTCACTCTAAGATTAATGAGTGCCGCGATGTCTGCTGGCTACATGCTTGGCCATCAAAAACTTGGACACGAGATAAGTTCAAGGGACGCGGACGGGGACGGGTGGGCGGGTGTATTGAAGTTTTTGGATAGAGTTTTTTTCAAGCTGTGCCTACAGAAAATATCAGTGTCTGAATGTCACTGAAGAAAGTGCTCTGTATTCATTTGATTTCTATAAAACATGAAAACCCATGTATGCTCCTTCCTAGGACACGGTATTTCAGTAGAAACCCAACACATGCTGGTTAGGGCAAAGAAATAATGAGCAGATGGAGCACGCCAGAATACAAGAAGACCGCAGCTCAGGGTTGCTGGTTTATTTTCTTTCCCCGAGTCAATCTTGTTTCACCGATTTTTTTTTATTTTGTATTATTATTTTTTATTCCTTGGCGTCTTAAGAAGGCTGCCTCATTAGTCATGTAGACGAATGAAGAGAGACGCATTTCATTTTGTCAGGAAGTCATCCGGACAGACAAATGTGTGGCAGGAAATGAAATAAATAAGGAAGGAATGGCAGAAGTGAGTGGCTGGGCTGACATTTACTGTGATTAGCTTGTGTAGCGGTGAATGCATTTCTGTCATCCTCTCACTCACCATCTTTGTTTCGTTCCCCTCCCGCGATCCCTCACGTTCAACTTTTCCAGGCTGCATGCAGATGTCCGTGACCTTTAGCATTGCCATATGAATTATAATAATAAGGAGAAAAAAAGGGAAGTGAATTCACACACAAAGGTATGAAACTGTAGAGAGGATGGGCTGGAGCCAGATGCCACCACTTCAATAAATAAAAATAACTTTCTCAGACAATAACAAAATTATATGTGGCGTGTGATCCTGACAACATTTCAATAAATGCATATGAAGATACAAAACTCCATAAAGAGGATGTCGACATGATTCATGTAAAAGTGTGTTACTGCACATGCACATGAATGTGCCCTCTCTCACACCTGCTTGATTTGCAGACGTACCACCGGGACCATTTTCTGTCTCCTCCAGCCACATCCAGAGTTTTCCTCCATCAAGGGCATAATGGTGCGATCCGTCGGCCGATAATGGCGGCGCGATCTGCAGGTCCGCCGACCCGGCACCAGAGCAGAAGAGCCTCTATCATGGCCCATTACAGTCTGCTTAATGACCACGCTGATGGCCCTAACTCTGCAGCGGCCTGTCTTCACTCTGTCTGTTTAAAACATTTTATTCCTCTCGTATTCTGCCGCCTCTGTGACAGCTGAGAGCAAAATGGTGGATTTTGTTTGTCTGCACTTCTAGGTGGGTGTCATAAAATGAGTGAACAAGTATTCTGTTTATTGTAAATAGATCAAGCAATAATGATGCCATCCAGCTTCACAAATGTAGTTTTTACGAGGAATGCAACTTCATTCACATCATGTAAAATAAAATAAAGAGAAATCCATTTTAAAAATAGGACAGTGTAGACATAAAATTGTAGATTTCAAACTAGAAGTGGTGCCTGTTGCTAATGCCTTTTTCAAAGAGGCTTTTCTTTTTAAATAAATGTGAGGATGGTTGTTTTTTGCTCTTCAGAAAAATGATTTTGAGTTCTAAGGGTTGACTGATTAACATTATTATATTTGAGTTTAAATACTGCACTTCTGTGGTCTCTGTGTTGCTGCCATTTATGAAATAAGTGAATGTGTATGTGCATCTCCAGACTTGCCGTGCAAACTCACACACACATTACCATATACACGTTTGGAGCAAAGACTATAAAAAGATGACCACATGACAACAAAACTGAATTATCTTCATCGTCCTCTGGTGGCTGGTTGCATTGTGGGTTTTAAACCCAACTTCCTCCATGTTAGTGGATGGGACATTGGCCAACCAAAAATCCAAAATGCATGTGTTTCTCAAACATGCTTTCTGTATTTATTTTTTTGTCAAGTACATTTTTCTAGTCAGTTTAAACTATAAAAATGGGGTGAAACATCATGAGTGACAACTGGGAGTGATGACTGGTTGAGTGGGTTTATGTGCAAATCCTGCCTCCAAATGACATCACCAGCACAAGATGGCACTGACCTGGGATATTTTGGCTTCTTTTTTACACAGTGAGAGGAAGTTAAGATGGGTTGTACATCTTTATATAGAGTCTATGATGAAAACACTCTGTTCAGGAAATTATATTTTTACACATATTTTAACACTATTCAGTAATTACTGTATATCCAGCCTGTGGGGTTGAGTGAGGCACAGTGAGTTCTCACTTTTGCAGCCATGGACGTTCAAACAAATAACGCACATTGTTCAGAGAATTAAAATAACTCTTTTTTCTTTTCCATAATAAGTGATAAATGAGCTCACCTAAGTGTTTGCTCAACATTCAATTACAA